TGGCCTTCTTGTCCTGCAGACCCAAGAGCTGTACCAGCTTTTCGATGTATTTTGCTCCCATCTTGATGGTGAATCCGTTTTCATCATACTCATATCTTCTCTTTAAGAAGTGCACTGACTCCTCCGTTCCACCAGGTCCACAAGGTCCTTGAGTCGTCAGTGAAAACTTCTCTTCCAATTTGGCCTTCAGTCTCTGCCCTTCAGTTGGCGTAGCAGCCAATTGGATGTCGTCCACGTGTACCAAGATGGCTCCTTCGACATCTCCCTTTTCACTTTTCTTCACATAAAGGTTTGGACTCAGTTGGAAGGTTTCGTATCCTTCCTTCTCAACTACCTCCTTCAGAAACAAGCTCCATTCCTTGGTTCCTGCACGCTGTCCTGGGAGTAATCTGTCCAGGACCCAAACTTCATCTTCCTTCAACAGATGTTCATATCCCTTCGGAGGCTTGACAAATACCTTTGCCTTCTGTGGTACTTGAAGAAACGCATCCTTGACGTCAATGCTCCACAACTGGAATTGTGGATTGCACACTGCCAACCCAGCAAGAAGCTTCGTCTGGCTGGATGCCGTTGATGCTGCAAAGAGATCTTGTCTTGTCGGATCTGACCAGCGGTACTCTCTGGCCACCAGACGTGATCGTCTCTGCCATGACCCGCCTCGGTGCCTCCAATCCTGCACCGCCGTGGTTGACAGCTCCTTGAAGTCGCTTGCAAGGTCATGTCGCTTGACCTTTCTCAGAACTTTCATCTCTTGAAGCCTTGTAACTTCCTGCTGAAATGCAGCTTCGTCCAACATCGCCAATTCGCCACTGCTGACTACTGGCGCATTTTCCACATCAGCATCGTCCCAGAATTGGCTGATTAGCTGATCTTTGTCCTCACCATAGTCTCTGTTGCACTCTTCCTCTTCATCGTCCGCACCAAACAAGTACTGGTCACCAGACTCTTGCAAGGTAGCAACCAACATCTCTTGAACTTCCACCACCCTGGACACATTGCCCGCAAAGCTGGGTGGATAAAGCACTTGTTGTCCGGTAGGACTTCCTTCTGCTGAGGTTCTTGCTCGGCTTGGACTTCCTTCAATTTGTCCCGTGGTTGATTCCAAACCACGCTTCCTTGATTCTTCCGTGTCCATAGTAGACCCCGCCTGAGCTGGCGGTTCCAGCTGTTCTTCTGCTGGTCTTTTCGTACCTTGAGCGCGATCATCCACCATTGGTGCTCTCAGCTCTCCCGCTGGAGTTCGTGGTGGTGTTGGTGGATTCGATGGTGTCTTGGGTACTTCCTGCCGATTTTGCTCTTCCAGTTCCTTCAGTAGTATATCATCTGGTGGTTCCTCCTCACTGCTGATTTGTTCCTGGGCAGCTTTCTTGACTGCCTCAGCCTTTTCGTCCACGAAGGGCACTGTGCCAAGCGTAGGCATTGTCCTCTGATATCTCAGCTTCACTCCAACTGATTCCTGTTGGAAATTCCATGGTACCCCTTTGACCTTCATCAAGCTCTCGGCTTGGTATGGCGTGACACTCCTGCGCACAGTTCGAGCCACACGCGTGCCAGAGATGGTACCCACCAAGAATGAATCGGATGCCTCGCTTTTGCCCAAGAAGATCGCCTTCTCGAACTGGGCAATACCTTTTGGCTTTCCCGGCAGGGTTCTCGCGAAAACTGTGGTCCCAAATGGCACCAACTTGCCGGCGTACCGCCGCTCAAATCTCAGCTCGAAAGGAGTTTGTCCTCCTTGGCCACTTGCAGGCTGAAATCGATTCAACAGCCACCCTGCATGCCGCAGGGCCCAGGTGCACAGTATTGAACCTGGAGCCACGGTAACTCCAGTTCTGGCTTCCAGCTCATGCATAAGGCACAAAGTTTGTCGACGTACCGTCTGGATGTACCTTTCTGACAGCAGTCCTTGATGCTGTCCCACTGCAACAAGCTGGATGCTTGACTTGAGCTTCATTGCAGCTCTTGAAGATTGCCATGTTCTGGCTATCTGTTTCAAAGCTGGTTCCTGATCTGTGCGAATCAGCAAGTTGATGTCTCCATATCCTGCTGTGGCATTCACCAGCTGCTGGACCACGTACTTCAGTCCATACTTATCCTTGCTTGGAACTGGGATTGCCACCACCACTTGGTTTGGCTTTCAACCGCACACAAGAACGTGGTGCTGGGTGCCCTCTCGTCACCACTCTGGGGCTCACCCGTGATGTACCCGAAGTCTATATGCACCATCACTCGGTCGTCAATGTCCTTGAGATCTGCTCTTTTGTGGGTGTCCTCCCTGCTCTTGGTGGCCGTGCACGACTCACACCAGGGAGCCTTGGGCAGATGAGTGAGTTCATGCTGCTCCTTCTCCTGTGGGCTCACGTCCTTAGGCAATGGTATGGCTTCACCGTGCCTGACCAGATCGTCTTGGCACTTCTTTGCCACTTCCAGGGCCGCATCAAGTTCTGCATTTGCAAGAAATCGAGTCAATCTTTCCCAGCATTCCTTCTTGCTTCCGGTCTTGGGAAGTCCGTAGAACTGACATGCTCTTCTCATCACTCGTAGCGGTGACTCTGCAGTGAGCACATTTTCTCCATAGATAATCTCCTTGAATTCTGATGGAGCTCGTACAAGCTGCTGTTCTGGTTCCGCAGGCTGTACCAGCACTGCATCATGGGGCCTTTCCGATTCCAGGTCCTCTTCCTGCACACCTTCCTTTCTGGCTGGCTTTCCCACCAGTGCAATGACTTCCTGCTCCGTCATCGGTACCAGGTGTAACATCGTGAGGGTTTGCGTCGGGCCCTCCAGATCTGGTATTGGGGCATTTGCCTCCACCATGGATCCTTCTGCAGCGTACTGTGCCGCACATTCAATGATCTCCCAGACTTCCTCATCTGGTTTCCATCCTGGATTGAGATATTGTTCCTTTTCCCGGTCGGACACCAAGATCATTGTCGTACGGTAAGGGTAGTCCGAGATTCCAAACCGTTTGCGACCATCGACATGTCTGTCCGTCTCCGACCTGTACGTAGGAACTCCATTCACGTAGAACCACGTATCCTCGATGATCTTGTTGGCTTTTGGTACCAAGCAGATCTCGCGCACATACTTCTGATCGACTCGCCGAATCTCCACCTTCACAGCTAAGCTGTTTCCCGAGTAGTGGATGGGGATTCGGTAACCGTCCCGGTCGTGCTTCAGATGCAAATTTCCATTAGCATCTCTCCCAGGCGTCCACCCGTTCTTCAAGAACTTGCCTGCACTCAGTAGTGGCTGTCGTACCGCTTCTGCCACTGTTGCCATCTGCCTCACCTTCAACTTTTCTCCAGTTGATGCCTCAAACACCAACTCAACCTTCCTTTGTGAGGTTCCAGTTAATTCATTTCCTTGGGCGTCTCGCAGTACCGGTGCCTTGCCCATGATTTGACCTCTGTCAAGATAGGTCATTGGAAGGACTGTCGTGTCACTTCCGGAGTCCAAAATGGCCTCCACTAGTGCAGGTGGTCTGTGGACCGCTCTAACCTGCCATTCCGTAGGATCGTAACTGCCTTCAGCAGAGTGATCCATGTGTTCGTGGTGCTCGTGGTGCTCGTTGTGCGCGCCGTCCTCGGCGGTGAAACTAGTCGTGATCCTTGTAGCGGGCGGATAGCACGACTCAAGGTATGGACTGTATGTCCAATCATCCAACGCATCGTCCTTGTCCATGTGGTGGACTTCGAATTTCACAGCACGGACACTTCCTTCGTTGAATGCAGTGTCCTGCACCTCCTTGTCTTCCTCGTCAGCAAGGTCATAGATCACACAGCAGTTCACTGGGTCGTTGAGATCGATCCTTCTGACCTGTGACGCGGAAGGGCCAGCTGTAGTTGCACTAACCGTGCTGCCAGCCGCAGACAGTTGTGTACCACTGCCTGGGTGGTCCACCTGCCTGACACCCTTTCCTTCATCCTCTTGTTTTTTCCAACAGTCAGCCTGTCGGTGTCCAGGCTTTCCGCAGTAGAAACAGGTTTCCTTTCCCTGCTGTCCTTTTCCTTTTGATTTTCCTTTGTTGTCAGGGCTGTTCTTGCCCTTTCCTTTACCCTTTCCTTTTCCTTTCGGCTTGTCATGCCACCAGCCCGGCTGGTTGTTCCAACCTTTTCCTTTTGCCTTGGCGTCCTTGCCTTTTCCTTTACCCTTCTTGCCTTTTCCTTTAGATTTTCCTCCTTTCTCCATACGATCCACCTCCATAGGGACAACATCAGTAGATGTTCCTTCGTGGTGCTTTTGGTAGTAGCTGATGCTATCAGCCCACTTGTAGGTCTGCATGTCCCAACTCCGAACCGCTTCCCTGACCTGGCTGTACGGAGTGTCCTCCTTTAAGTGAACAAGTAGCCAGCTTCGCACTTGTGCCGGTGCGTTCTTGAGAAGCACTCCAACCAGGATGTCATCTCCTACTTCCTTGCCACCACTGGCTCCTTCATATTCTTTCACCAAGTCGTCCAGACGTTGGAGATTTTCTGTCAGGGTTGCAGTTCTGCTGAATGAGTACTGAAGGATGCTTTGCAAAAGCGCAAGTGCTCGTGCTCTGAGCTGTGGCGTAGCCTGAGCCACTAGCACCCGATAGCACTCAAACCCATTTCCTGGTTGGATGGACTTCAGGATTTTCTGTGGTCGGCCTTGTACTAGGCTCGTGAGTACTGCGTACAAGATGGTCCCTCGCTTCTTGGTTCCATCTTCCATTTCATCCATCTTCACTGAAGTCTCTGGATTTTGCCTTAGCACTGCAAAATCATTTTGAAATCCTTCGTCCAAAGCCACAAGGTAGGCTCTCAGGGCAAAATCAAAAGCCTGCCAAGTTGCATGCTCTTGTTCCCGGTTCTCGGGTTTCCACACTTCAGGTGGTTTCAGCACTTTGTACAGTGCTCCGGACAGCCCTCTATTTTCTTCCCTGGCAGCTGCTTGCTGCCCTTGAGCAGCCACCAGTCTTTCCACAGCTTCAGCTGTCCGAGCTGTCGCCGCGATTTGCACCTGAACCATAGCGCCTAACGCGGTGATCCCTTGTTCTGCTTCGGTCGCCATCTCTCCTGCGACTGGGCGATGGGTTTCGCCTCCCTCCTGGCGATCGGTCCCTTGGTACTGACCGAGTTGACTGCGTCACTTGTGTAGTTCCTTTGAACTCTGGTTCCTTTCTCCACGGGGCAACCTTTGGTTTCCTTTTGCCCTTCTCGTTCTTGCCCTTTGACTTCTCTTTTCCTTTTCCTTTTCCTGTACCTTTCTTACCCTTTCCCTTAGGGTAGTAGTTGGGTTGCCAGGTGTCCCAATAACCCCAGTCCCAACTGCTCCAGTTCCAGTCGTCCTGGTAGTACCCTGGAGTGTCTTGTAAGCGCGACCAGTCGTCCGCTCCTTCTTCCTCTTCTTGGACCTCTTCCTCCAGTGGGGATGGCTCTCTCTCGGAGTCTCTTCCGTAGTCCACCTCGAGATCGTCCCTTTCTCTGGACCGTCCCGGTCCTTCTTCTGGGTTCCTAGTCCGTCCCGGACTGGACCTTTTCCTCCTAGGACTGCTCCTCGTCCTCTCTCTCTCTCTTTTGCTAAGACCTTCTGTCCTTTCCTTTTTTCTCTCAGGTCTCCTTGACCTGCTCCTCTGTTCCTCCTTAACGGGAACTTCGGCGCGTCCCGCGCTCCTGGTCCTCCTGTCTGATCTCCTGGATCGGTCCCGGTAGTCCTCTCTCGGAACCCTGGTGCGTGCCGCACTCTTATCCTCTTCTTCTTTCCTGGCTCTCTCAGAACCCTTTTCAGGCTTTGTCCTGCCTGAGCTTCTCGGCCTCGCTTTGCTCGGGCTTTCCTTTCTCCTGTCCCGTTCTGGGCCTTCTGCCCTTTTTGCTCTCCTTGCCTGTCTCCGCAGGAGGTCCTCTTCTAAAGGCTGTATTCTGGCCTTGAGGTCCTTCAGCTGGGACTCAAGTATGTCCAGCCTCAGCGCCCTTGCCTGGTCCGCGGGCGATCCTTCCTCAGCCGTCCTGGCTGGGAGCCTTGGAACTCCGGCGAGTTCCTTTTCACTTATTGGGCTCTTTCAGTCCCTGGCCCAAGTACCCAGCGCAGCAACTGCTTGCAAAAACAGCGGCCAACTAGGTCCTTAGCACAGGCTCCACGCTACCATGAAAAGCAGCGCACTGTTTTGAGACACTGAAAGAAGGGCTGCAGAGTGCACAGTGGTTTGTGCGTGTCATCCTTGCTACATGCAGGGGTCATGCTACTTACCTAAACAACTGACAAGTTAGCTCATTGCTGGAACACAAGGCTTACATCAGGTCATGGTTGCCTACAGTTTGCAGTCATGTTGATTTCAGACGACATGATGTATTTCTGCTAGGTGACACACTGAGGGATTCTGGACTATTGTTGAATTTGTGCCTGCGGCTCAAAAAGGATTCACAATATGATGATGAAGAGAGACTAAGATCGCCACCAGGGGGATATGCTCAGAGAAAGTCCGCGGTAGTCCCTTTTGACGAGAAGAGAAAACCAGCAACATTACCAAAGGAAAATCACATGGCGTTCAGTGAAGGACACAGATATGAGACAGCTTGGTTTCAAGCTCAGGGGAGACTGAAGAAGAAACGCAACTGAGATATGCACATCCTCATGGGACCAGACAATATGTCAGGTTTCGCTCGAAAAAAAAAAGGTTCATGGATGTTATCTCATGGATCCTCTATTGGGGCTCAGAACATCGAAAGTTTGATATGGTTATCAAATGGTTAGCCGAGTTCCTGAAGTATCCATGTGGTTTTATTACTCAGGATGAAGAGGACTGGTTTGATGAGCAATGCAATAGCTAGTACATCGACCTCATTGGAAGACGTCATGACAGCAGGTACCTTGCATGTAGCAAGTCCTTTTCACAAGTGTTGAGACACAACAAAAAGACTTGTCTCTTCAGTGAACGAGGCAGTATGAACATTGCACATTTGTTCGGCCAGATAAGTTGGCAGAATCACAAACAGGACAACATGTCCGGCATGCAGTTTGCCGCATTTTTGCTTTGCAATCCCAAGCAGAGATTTTTCGTTGACATTCACATGCAGTGGGAATGGTACCCATATAGCTGGGCTGCTATTTACCCTTTTGATGTGAGATTAGGTTGTCTACAAGGACGCTCGAATCAAGTTGTTGACCCTTACTCCGCACATCACCCACGATTTTTCATGTCACTGATTCTGAAAATGTACCCTTGATTCAACGACTTGACTTGAAGACCGATGTGAAAGGAAGTGGACGAGGTGGAGGAGACGCAGTAGACTTCATGTACCACAACGACAACGTTCAGGGCTACATAAGGATGGCAGAAGGCACTACCCCACCACGCCAATACAGGTAGCCAGTGTACTTTGTGCTGGACCCACAATTCATTGAAAACCAACAGTTTTTCCTTACCAAGAACAGGTTAGTTGTTTTTTTTTCACGGTGACATTCCAGCTGAATTTTTGCGCATTCAAGATCAGTTACCCACATTGGCATGCAAAACGTCCTGAAACCTGGAAGAGGACACATGCTGCCACCTTCAGTGACTGGAGGAACTCGGCCAGCTGATGTTAGCTATGGACATGTTCGACGTGAGAAGGGTGTCGGTTTTGCACCTGGAGGTCCCATTCCTGAAACTATTAGAACAACAGCATGGCAGTTCACGGGCCAAGAGATCCCTCAAAACTGTGGGAAGTTTGTTTTTCGTTTTCCTTTGACATCAAAGGTTGATGTTGATCCAGCGCTTGAGTCAGTTCATGGATTATTGGCAGAAAACTCTCATCAGAGAGAGGAATCTGCACAAGATGATCAGCCTATGCCCTATGCAAAGCCCATATGAACAGCCATCAAGACGTGCAGGACGCTCTCAAGAGAGACAGGAACCTGCCAGTCAATGGGAACAACAACATCAACAACGTTCCTCATCAGGAAATTCAGAGCCTTCACAAGAAGAACCCCCACAAGATGATCAGCCGGAGCAAGACCTACTCATGAACAAGTTGACTTAACACAAGATGATCCCATGGGTGAAGAGGTAGTTGATCTTCGGGAAGCAGAAGATCTACCAGATGAAAATAATGGAGTTGAACAGGTGACACGGTGACACGTTCTTCTATTTCTGCATCAAATCCCTGGGTCCTGTATGAGGCAGGCATCATTTGTGCTCGAGATGGGGATAGCCAAATCCAACCAAATTCCTGTGGAGAGAAGTTCGTTCTTCTCCGAGAATGGGCATATTTGCTTAGTCCTCAACGAGTTGCTTTGAGAAGGCAGTCCATTGGACGTGCTGACTGGGAGAAGCTTCCATGGACAGGGCATCTCTGTTATCTTTTCACCAGAAGCTGGGAGATGGGTCGGCTACGTTCATACTACCTGAAATCACGTTAGTTCAACAAGTTGGATTATTTCCTGGATCGTTGCCGACACAGACTGAATGCGAGGACAAGGTGAGCCACCAGGTTGGGTAGACAGATTTGACATTGACACAGAGCAAATCAGAGCAATGGTCAGAAAATGGATTCCTGTGTGAACGTGATTTGAGGGTTCAAGAAGATCTTGAATGGCTTGCAGAGGCTGTGTATCAATTCTACCGAAAGCATCTTGACAAGTTGATCAGAGAGAACGACAGAATGTGGGGAGACTTCTGCAAGAAGAGCTATGGTGATGATGGAAATGAAACTGGATTGGACTTGAACACTTATGGATATGATATGACAGATCCAAATGCCGAGGTTCCCACGAACAAGAAGACTGCTATTCCAGATCCAGAAACCCACATTTTTTCTCAACGAAGCTGATGGTTTTGGCAGTTGATCTGTACCCTGTACCAACATGAAACTCCGAGAGGCTTCTGTCCATACACCAACTTTGCTTACAAAAAAAATCACCCAGTTTGTAGACAGCAGGAAAGACATGACAGCTCAATCCTACAGATTCTTCGTGGAGCATGCCTACCACCAATTCTTCCAACATGAAGCATTTCATCTATCCGGCAAAAGATTTGGGTGCAGGTGAATTCCATACATCTACAAAGTTTGATGGATATGTTTGGGTTGCAAACACTGAAAGGGTGGTTGATGTTCCCAACGATCAAGCTGATGATGTGGACATGGAAGAAGATGATGATGATGATGGTGATGATGATGATGATGTTCAGGAAGAGAAAGAATTCCTACCTTCACTGCAAGTGATTGTCAGGCCTCAAGAGAAGACAGGCAAGGAAGAAGATGTAAGGTAAGGTCTCTGCAGAGAGAGGAAACATCCCAACAAGCAGGACACTGAAGAGACAAGGATACCTGAGTTGGATAGAAGACTTGAGGATAGGTATGGACGCTACATTATCAGGCAGTTGAAACCAGAACATCAAGAGCTACTTCGAAACATGGCATTCAATTATCAAAATGTTCTCACAGCAGCTGATAAAGAAGGTCGATCGCCACTTCGATATGAAGAAGTTGGCTACTTTTCATTGCTGTTTATGCTGGAATATATTGCTAATGCATCTCACAAGAGTTTCATGGAAAACTTTGCAACATCGACTCAAACAGACATCACGTATGAACAGTTTCAGCTAAAAGAGGCCAAGGGGAATGCCACACAAGACGATTTTGAGGAGAAGGAGGAACCAGATCAGATGGAAACAGAAGATGACGATTTGATTGACTGCACTATCAAGTGGCTCAGCATGTACAACATGACTGCTCAACAGAAGATCATGGAGAGAGTTGTCCAGCAAGAGACAGAAGAAGAAAAAATTGAAGTTGAAGAAGAACAAAAAACACAGGAGCCTACAGTTCCACCACCAACACAGGCGAGCATGGAGTGTCAGACAGATGAGTTTTCTGTCAGAACCAAAGGCTGGAAACCGTTTTCAAAAAGAGGAACCAGTTCCACCTGAAGGCTCTGCTGAGACAGAGGTATCAGGGGAACCACGGGCAGATCTTCAACAAGATGACGCGGCTCCAAAACCTGAACCGGCCAAAAGACTTTACTATGGTGCCGACATCACTGGTAATGAAGATGATTCAGTTTTTCGAAAACTTGCCACCTGTTTTACTGATGGTTATCATGGTGAACGGGCAGGATTCTACAATCAAGGTTATCCAGCTTCAACTCAACATCGACATATGTTCTGGCATGTAGAGTATAGAACTACCATGGCTCCTCATCAAAACCATTGGTATTCCAACACAGATGATCAGTTGATGGAAGAATACATTGCCAGGCTTAGAGATCAGTTTCCACTACAAAAACTAGAAGAGATCAAGAACCCATGTGAGTATAGCTGCAGTGATCCTAGGTTACATCCACGACACCAAGAACATTCAGAGGAAGCAGCTAGGGAAGCAGAAAGGAGAATTGATGACGACTTCAAAAAAATGACAACGGTATTGGAATGTTACGTGGAGGATCATAAGGTATTACCTTACTGCATTGCATTGCAATGCTTAGCTTCCAGATATCTTGGAGGAGGTATGTTTGACCCACGTACTATGATGATGAAGAGCATCCTTAATTACCGATCATCTCCACAATTCTCATTGATGTTTTGGAATCTTGGAAACTGGTGCAGAGCACGTTTTAGCAAATGTCCACTACCGGAACGATTACAAAAGTTCGCACCACACATTGATTACGACCTGAACAGTGGTCATGAGAAGATTGGAGACCTGCCACAGTTCAGCAACTATTTTATCAACGTCATCAAGAACTTTGGAGCACATCTGTTCATGAATTGGGGGGCTGGTAGTCTCTATCCTCACAAGGAATTGCTTGAAGTGCGAAATAGCTACTTGCTTCCATGATTATCATGACTTGATGGTAGCTGCTCTGATTAAAAAGGAACGATATGTTCGACAAATTGCTGGCTATCACACAAGTGAAGATGACACACGCATCAGATACGTATCATGGGCCATATTCGACGTTTATTGGGGCATCATAAAGCAACGAGACACAGAGATTGAGGAACCCCTCACAAGAGCTCGAATGAAAATGATACGTGTGTGTGTGTGTCTATCACGTCGGACACAAGCATGTCGGAGATTCACCCGGTATCACAGGGGAGTGCATTGCGCGCATGGCCTTTGAATGTGCCCGTTATCAAGTTGACCTGATCGCAGGGGACAGGAACAA